TTATAACAACCCGGACGATCGTTTTGAGTATTTTAGCCCCTATAGCCTAATTTATGCTCCTTCTCAGTTATATTGTGGTTATGTGACTTGTCGGGGTGCTTGGTGTCGGGTTCGGGAGAGTTTCAGAGTGATATGACACACATAGTCCCAAAGTTGAAAGTTTAAATCGTAGGAGTTGACCATAGTTTGACTTGTGTGAAGATGACGCCGGAATGGAGTTTTGATGGTTCAAATAGTTCCGTATGATGATTTTGGTCGTATGAGCGTGTCTGAATATTGATTTGGACGTCCGTAGATTATTTCGGCGTGAATTGGCAAAAGTTAAAAAATTGGAAGATTTTGAAAAGTTTGACTGGGAGTGGACTTTATTGATATCGGGGTCGAATTCCAATTTCAATAGTTAGAAATAGGTCTTTAATATCAATTATGACTTGTGTACAATATTTGAGGTCAATAGGAGTTGTTTTGGTATGAATCGATGTTGGTTTCGGAATTAGAAAGTTCATAATTGCTTAGGCTTGAATTTGGGTTGCGATTCGTAGAATTTGTGTTGTTTGATATGATTTATGGCCTTAAGTAGGTCTGTTATGTATTTTGGAACTTGTTGGTATATTCGGACGGGGTCCCGAGGGCCCCGAATGTGAGTCAGGTGGAAATCAAATCGTTTGTGGACTTGTTGGACTGCTGTAGCTTTGCAACTTCTGGTGTTTTCGCACCTACAGAGGGAATGGCCGCAGGTGCGGGATTGCAAAAGTGAGCACTTGGTCGCAGATTCAAAACTGGGCATGCCCAGCTTGGGGTGCAGGAGCGAAAACATTCCGTAGAAACGGCTTCGCTTCTGCGGTAGAGAGGAGCGCATGAGCGACGATGTTCCACAGGTAAGCATACGCAGATGCAAGCCATTTTCCGCAGAAGCGGATTCTTTGGACTTAAGTGAAGTCCGCACCTGCGATGGTTTTTCCGCAGGTGAGGCAGTAAGGTTGCCAGTGCGATTTAACTGGGCAGAAAAGGGAATTTTTGAGGGTTTTGATTCATATTTCATTTTGGGATTTTGGGAGCTCGATGGGAGACGAAATTTCGAGGGATTTTTAAAGGGATTGTTGGGGGTACAGATTCTTAACTCGATTTTGGTTAAATTACACTAATCTATCATTGTTATTATCATGTAATAAAGGATTGGAGTTGGAAAAAAATTGAAAAAAAGTGGTAGAACTTTTTAGATTAAGTTTTTGGGTTTTGAAAGGCAAAATAATGTTGGATTTGGATAATTCTTTTATGGTTAGACTCAATATCAAATGAGTGTTCAGATTTTATAATTTTGGTCGGTTTCCGAGACGTGGGCCCAGGTTGACCTTTTTGGTCGATTATTCAATTCTTTGCAAAGATCGTAATTTCATTGTTTAAATTAATTTTCTATAGTTATATTTATAGTGTGAAATTATTTTGGCTAGATTCGAGCCGTTCAGAGTTGAAAAATCGAGGGAAAGGCCTTCTAGTTGATTGATTTAGCATGGTTTGAGGTAAGTGGCTTGTCTAACTTTGTGTGGGGGAAATTTTCCTTAGGATTTGGTATTGTTGTAATAATTGTGATATGTGAAAACCGTGTACGCAAGGTGACGAGTGCGTACACGGGCCAAATGTAAAGTTTACGATTTTTAGCTATGTAATTTCCTTTCATGCTTTAATTGAGTTACTTAACATGTTGTAGTCATCATATTTAGTCTAATTTCACATGTCTACTTGCTTTATCTCTTATTTGCAAATTGTGCTACATGTCTGGTTGAATTACTTGCTTCCTTTTTATTTTGTACTCATTATTTAACTATGCATTCCTTACTTGAAATTGCTATTCTTGGAATATCTTGTTGTTGAATTTGGTATTGAGTTGAAAAGACCGTGGTTCTTATTGAGGCAAAGTATAAGTTGTGAGACATCGTTTTTATTGAGTTACTCTCCGATTGTTATTGCTGAGACTTGTGTACATTGTGGTTGAGTCGTGGGCTCCTTATTGTGAAATTTTATTATTGTTTGGTTTTCTGACAAGTTGTGATATTTGGGCACCTGAGGTGCGAATTGTGATACGTTGTGATATTGATACATATGTTTTGATATAAGGTTTGGGTGTTGAAACGCATGCGGTGAGATAAGGTGGGCTTGATACGCGTGGCTAGTAGGGAAACTACTAGAAGCCATGCGGTGTGATAAGGTGGACTAAAATGCGGGGTGCTATTTCGGAAAAAAAAAATTCAAAACTAAATGTAAAGGCTCCCGCGGTGATATAAGGAAAGATTGTGAGTTATTTTTATGATTTGGGACTACGAAGTGGTACTTTGGGAGTGGCCCTTGTTGATCTTTTCTCTACTTGTTGTATTTGTCTTGGTTGTTTGTTTCCTTAACGTGCAAATTCTTATTTTCCTTCCGTGTTGTATTACTGCCTTGATTCTGTGTTGTTAACTTTTGAAAATTTCTTATTGTTTCATTCCTATTGTCCTTATTAGTATATCATTATATATTTTGCCTTGTTTTTTATTATCACCAGTATGGCCTTGACCTGACCTCATCACTACTCTACCGAGGTTAGGCTTGACACTTACTGGGTACTATTGTGGTGTACTCATACTACGCTTCTGCACATCGTTTTGTGCAGATTCAGGTACTTCCTATCAGTCCCGACATTAGTGAGCTCAAGTTGTTTGGGAGATTTCAAGGTATACCTGCCCGCGTCCGCAGGCCTCAGAGTCCACTTCTATTATTTTTTTCTTATTTCATTACACTATCTTTTTTTTGGTAACTAAAGATTTTATTAATTACCAGAATGATTACAATGAGGATCCATAGCTAGACTATATCACAGTCTGCTATCTAGTTTATTACTACCACTATTGGAACATAGAGAACTACGTAACTACTAGAGCTAATCTAAATATTAAGTTGTTGAACCAGAGTTTTAATTCTAGTAGACGCCGGAACATTACAAACATATGTTATCTCCCTCAATTGACTGTGACTCTTCGCAAATCTTCTCTGATTTCTCTCAATCCATATAGTATGCACCCATTCAGTATAAGCCAATTTAAAGATTTGAGATCTTTGTGATTTTCCCTTTGATGCTTTAATGATCCATTTCTCTAGTAGCTCCCATCGTGATGTCCTGAAGAGAGGGACCTACATCCATTTCAACACTCCTTCCCAGACTTTGTTAGAGAAAGGACACTCCATGAATAAGTGGTTTCTTGTTTCATCGTGACTATTGCATAGATTGCATATAGGATCTACATTTATCTCCCATGGGGCAAGTATATCAATAGTCAGTAGCTTCCCATGCATCTGTAGCCAAACTGTGAACTGAGCTTTTGGTCTAGCATCATTTCTAAATCTCAAAGTCTTCCAAGTTATTCTCTCATTATCACCAATAAGCTTAAGGTAAATCTGTTTGATTAAACTGCCTGATTTGGTATCTTGTATCAGTGCCATTGTATCTCTTGCTTCAAATATTTTCCTCACCATCCATCCTGCCTGTTGAGGAATAAGCATTTGGCTAAATTGTTGGTTCTTGGTGTAGTAGGCATGTAACCACCTGATCCACAACCTATCTGCCTTATCCTCAATATCCCAACTTGCCTTCGCTATTGCAACTTTATTCCATAGTCGTATATTTAGCAAGCCTAGACCACCAATTGATTTTGGAATGCAAACCTTATCCCAAGCAATTAGATCTTTCCATGTGATTGTGATTGTACCAGACCATAAGTAGCTTCTGCAATAGGCCTCAATTGTACTTAGTACTTTTGAAGGAATAGCAAACAATTGAGACCAATATGCTTGAATACCAAAGAGTACTATTTGGATGAATTGAGATCTCCCTACATATGAGAGTTTCTATGCAGTCCAAGATGAGATTTTGGATACCATTTTGTTGATCAATGGTTGCCACTATAGTAATGAGATTTTTTTGTGGGCAGGGGGATTCCCTGATATTTGAAGGGGAGTTCTCCTTTTGGAAATCCTAACTTATGTAGGATTTGATCTTGAATGATTTGAGTGACTCCTCCAATAAAGTCCTGAAGCAGAAGAGAAGTCCAAGAAACACCTATTTAATATGGAAACAGATTCAACATCACCTCTGGAGAATAATAGTAGATCATCTGCAAATGATAAATGAGTCATTGCTTGTTTAGAGTACTTTGGATGATACTTGAACTTTTTATTTCCTTTCAACTCATTAAGCTTTCTGCTTAAATATTCCATGGCTAAGGCAAAGAGAAATGGAGAAATTGGGTCTCCCTGTCTTAGTCCTTTAGCTACATCAAATGGTGTTGTGGGTTCACCATTAATCAATATAGAATAGTTGACTGTCTTCACACATTCTAAGGCCACATAGTGAATTGTCTAGGAAAACCAAGCTCATCTAAGACCTGCTCCAGAAATATCTATTCCACTGAGTCATAGGCCTTTTGAATGTCTATTTTTATCATACATCTAGGGGAGATATTCTTCCTTGTATAGGACTTCACCAGTTCTTGAGCAAGGAATATGTTATCTAATATCTTCCTGTATGGAATAAATTGAGCCTGTGCTTCACATACTACTGATGCAACAACTTTCTGGAGTCTTGAGGCAAGTACTTTGGAAATGATTTTGTACAGAATAATACAACAAGCAATTGGTCTGTACTCTTTCATAGTAACACGATGATCAGTTTTAGGGATCGGGGTGAGAGAAGTACAGTTAATAGCTCTATTCATCTTGCCACTCTCAAAGAATCTTCTTACTTCCCAGGTAATCTCTGGCCCCACTATACTCCATGCTCTCTTAAGAAAATAGGCATTATACCCATCCAATCCTGGAGATTTATCATTTCCAATTGAACTAAGTCCTTAAGCTATTTCTTGGTCAGTAACTGAAGCACACAAGGAGAGTTGCTACTCGTGACTTAGCTTGGGCCCCTTGCTCATTGTAACTTTGTTGACAACATTTAGTGAGGGACTATAAGTCCCCATTCACCCTTTATAGAATGATACAATCTCATCTCTGAGCTCCTTAAGATCAGTTAGCTTAGCACCTGAAAGGGAATTGAGTTCCATGATTTGCTTCCTTTGGCTCCTTTCCTTCATGACTGCAGCAAAGTACTTAGAATTTGAGTCCCCCAACTGTATCCATTGGGCTCTAGACTTTTGCCTTAGTATACTCTCCCCAAGCAGGTTCCATTTTTGAAGATTCATCAAAGCTTCTTTCTCCTTAATCACAAGACTATCATCATATCTGGCTACTAGTTCAGCTAGAATGCATTGTAATTCTTTTCTTGCCTTCTCAGTCTTCAATGATATAGATTGAAACTCTCTTTGATTCAGCAATCTGAAGACTAGCCTCAGATCCTTTAGCTTGTTCCATACATTCTGCATAGGATCTCTATCAAGCTGTTTCTTCCAGTTGACATCAATTAGCTCCAAGAATTTTGCATGCTCACTCCATATGTTGAAGAATCTAAATGGAGCTTTGATGCTATGGTTCACACTTTGCAATGTCAATAGCATTGGGGCATGTTTTGAAATGTTAGGGAGGTCATATTCTAAGACTATATGGCCCCACATCATCATCCAGTCACAGTTACCAAATGCTCTATCAATTTTGCTACTAACCCTATTTGATCCTTGCTGCTTGTTTGACCATGTGAAGTATTCATCCTTCCATTGTAATTCATTTAGTAGAGTGGCATTAATACAGTCTGAGAAATCTTTTACTTCACTGAAACTCACTGGGTGACAGATCATTTTATCGGTAGTCGACAATATTGCATTAAAATCCTCACACACTAGCCATAGGCAGTTAGTATTACATGAGATATTTTGAAGAGTGTCCTATAGAGATCTCCTTCCTCCACAGTATTGAATCCATAAACAACAGTTAGAATACACTGAAAGTTATAGGAGAAATCTCTAACTTCACAATGTATTAGTTGAGATTCCATTTTTAGCACTGTTATATTGTATGTTCCTTGATCCCACATCAGCCAGATTCTTCCATTAGCAGCAAAGGAGTAGTTATTAAGAATACTCCAATTGGGAGCAATAATCTTAGCAATTTTGAGACATTTATGTTTCTTAACTCTGGTTTTTAGCAGCCCCAGTAATTTGATATTTTTTGATCTCATATACTTCTTTAACTCTCTCTGTTTATACACTTTATTTACACCTCTAATATTCCATATAAGACAAGTCATTGAGAAGTTGTATTACCTCTTAAATCAGGAGGTTTTGCTTGTCTGGTTCTCTGATCCTCTCTTTGCATATACAAAATCTTCCCAGTCTTAGATTTGCTAGCCATAGCAGTACTCGACTGTGGAAAGTTGATCAAGTTCAATTCCGAACTTGGCACTTTCTCCTTGCCTTTAGAGGCATTCCGCACTGTTCCATATGGAGTTACTACTTGAATTTGTGAGTCAGCTTCTTGTTGTTGAAGTTTGCCTTCATTAATAGTTACTCTAGGCTGAACTACTTCAAGATGATCCAGCTGTTGTTTGTCAATAGTTTGGCTAGTTGATGGTACCTCTTTAGGCTTCCATTCCTGAACCACCTTCTTTTGTTCTCCTCTCCTCTTGTTCTGTATTTGCCTCTTCATCAAGTGTTGTTCAGGTTTCTTCTTAGAGAATATATGTCCTATAGTTAAGCATTGAGGACATAATTGGGGCTTCCATTCAAATTCCACCTCCTGCTGAAATATTTGTCCATTTGGATCCATAACTGTAATTTTTTCAGGCAGTGGTTTAGACACATTCACTTCAATTAGCATTCTAGCATATGATATCCTTGTTTGCTTAGTTGTACACTCATTAGCAAATAAAGGTTTCCCTAATGCACTAGCAATTCTTCCCAAGGAACCACATTCCCAGCAACTCATAGGTAATTTTAGGAACTTAACCCACAGTGGTATCTCAGTCATAAACTCCTGGCTAAAATCAAAAGCAGGAGTCCATGGTTTCAGAATAATTGGGCGATTTCGAATAATGTAGGGGCCAGAGAATAGAATCTCATTTATATCTTTAACATCGTGAAATCGAACCACATAATAACCTTCCTCATGAAGATACAAATCTGGTGTAGCTGTGAAATTCCACATCTGGGATATGTACCTATGTATGAGGGAGTACCCTGGTGTTTCTCCCATCACATAGACAATAAGGGCATTCTTTCACTTTTTCGCTTCCTTGTCTATCTCAGCTTTTTCTAGTTGTACTATAGTTTCTCCATTAACAATCTGAGGGGGGAAATAGGTTAAGGTCATACCATTTTCCGCAGTTCTATTTCCAACAAATAACGAGTTCCATTTAGGTTTATTCACAATTGCCTCTTGCTCAGTAGGAATCTCCTGATTTCCCTCCTTAACTTCAGGGTTGCTCTGTATTGGGACTTTATCACCCTGTGTTTGAATAGGTAAATTAACCACCGGAGCCTCAACTATCTTCACTTACGTTACACCCTCCACCTGAGATCTCAATTGTATTGGTGTTTTATCCTCTTTCACCAGCTCCACCATCTGCTGCTTCTTGGCTGTTGAGCTCGAGGATGGTTCCGATAAGGGTAAATGTTCCATTGGATTTATGGTAGCTGTTTGTTTGGATGTTTAAGCATTTACTTTGGATTGACCATGCACAACACTCCTAAAAGCAATTTGTATCTCTTTCTTAGGTCTTCTTCTTCCCCGACCTTGTCCCCTTCCCATGGGACTCATGGGCGCACGTTAGACTAACTAGCGCCTAGAGAGAAGCAGTAGCGAAGAGAGAAAAGCTGATCTTACTTAAGAGAGAGAGAGATAAAACAAACAAAAAACAATAAATAAATCAAGGATTGTTTGAGAGAGTTTCTCGAAACACCACTAGGTCAAGGGTTCAAGGCTGGTGGAAAAGAAGAAAGCATTACACTATCTTAGATAGTGATGTATATGATTTGTTCAGAATTGTTACTAGAGCTCTTGACTTATACTTCACCAGGTTTTGAGAGTTGTACATTTTGAGTTACAGATTTTATATATGCAGTTGTTGAGGTTTTGAGATTTTAAGTTATTATTTTAATTATTCCGCATGTTGATAGGCTTACCTAGTTTTAAAAACTTGGTGTCGTCACAACTTCCTACAAAGGGAATTGGGATTGTGATAAGTTGGTATTAGAGCTCTAGGTTCATAGGTGTTATGAGTCACAAGCAGGTTTAGTAGACTCTCCCGGATCGGTACAAAGACGTCTGTACTTATCTTCGGGAGGCTATGGAACTATTAGGAAAAGCTTCACTTCTTTGATTTCTTATCATGCAAAATTTTTGCCTTTGGGATTCTAAACTTCTGTGTTTCTATTCTCTCACAGATGGTGAGTACATGCACAGCCGGATCAAATGACCAAACACCCGCACCCCTTGCTAGAGCTGCGAGAGGTCGGGGTAGGGGTAGAGGGCGAAGACGTCCGCGTGGTGCAGCTAGAGCACACGTACGAGCTACTATAGAGGAGCCACCAGTAGCTCCAGCTTGAAGAGAAGGCACCTGAGATGCCTGTTACTGTCCCAGCACTTTAGGAGACCCTCGCCCAGTTTCTAAGCATGTTCGGCACTTTAGCTCAGGCAGGGTTGATCCCACTTGCTCCTGCCACATCTCAGGCCGGATGAGGAGCACATACTCCCACCGCTCGTACCCCTGAGTAGCGGGCCAAGATTTACCTGGTCCCAGAGGTCATACCAGTGTAGTCGGTTGCCCCAGTTCAGCCCGAGGCTAGGCCAGCAACTTCTGAGGGGGAGCAGCTCATGCTCGAGAGGTACAAGAAGTACCACCCTCCTACTTTCAGCGGCTTGGCTTCAGAGGATGCCCATCGTGTTCTTGAGGAGTGCCACTGTATCCTTCGTACTATGGGTATTATGGAGTCTAGTAGGGTTTCTTTCACTACGTTCTAGCTTAAGGGAGAGGCTTTTCAGTGGTGGCGAGTATATGAGTTGGGTAGTCCGGCCAAGGCAGTTTCACTCACTTGGGCTCAGTTCTCAGAAATGCTCTTGAGGGAGTTTGTTCACCAGAGTCTCAGAGATGCATGGCGTGCAGAGTTTAAGCAGTTGCGCCAGGGTTTTATGACCGTATCGGAGTATACGGTCTGGTTCAGTGGTTTTTCCAGGCATGCACCAGCCTTGGTTGCTACTGTTAGAGAGAGAGTCCGTTGATTTATCGAGGGGCTAAACCCTGGTATCAAAACTAGCATGGCTCGAGAGTTGGAGATGGACATCGTATACCAGCTGGTAGTGGAGATCGCTAGAAGATTGGAGGGTATGGGGGCCCGGGAGAGAGAGGGGAGGGAGGCCAAGAGGCCTCAGGATTCTGGCACATATAGTGGTGCCCATGCCCCAGTTACAGTTCGTCATGGTAGTGTCTATGTGAGCCACCTTGTTCATTCATCATTTCCGGCTTCCAGTGGTATTCTAGCCACTCCTAGGCCCTAAGCTCCCTATTATGCACCACCATTGTCTAGTACACCTCATGCACGGGAGGCTTTCAGTGGTCAGTCCAGCCTATCAGGCCCGAGCCAGCCACAACAGCCACGTCCTCCGAGATCTTGTTTTGAGTGTGGTAACACTCGTCATATGGTGAGGGATTACCCTAGACTCAGGAGGGGTGCACCTCTATAGACTACTCAGGCTTCGCGTATTCCACCAAGTCCTTAGGCTTCTCAGTCCATGGTCAATGCACCAGTTACAACTCCACCTGCACAACCATCTAGAGGTGGGGGTCGGGCAGGTAGAGGTTGCCCTAGAGGGGGAGGCCAAGCTAGATATTATGCTCGTCCTGCTAGGACGGAGGCGGTTGTATCCAACTCAGTCATCACAGGTATTCTTCTGGTTTGTCATGGAGATGCATCAGTCTTATTTGATCTAGGTTCTACTTATTCCTATGTGTCATCTCACTTTCTCCATATTTGGGTATATCCCTTGATTCTTTGAGTTCTCTCGTCTATGTGTCCACACCTATGGGAGATTCCCTTATTGTTGACCATATGTATCGGTCGTGTTTGGTTGTTCTTAGTGGTTTTGAGACCAGAGCCGATTTATTGTTGCTCAGTATGGTAGATTTTGATATTATTTTGGGTATGGACTGGTTGTCGCCTTATCATGTTATTCTTGATTGTCACGCCAAGAAGGTGACATTGGCTATGCCAAGTTTACCACGGCTATAGTGGAAAGGTACTTTAGATTATGTTACTAGCAGGATTATCTCATTTCAAAAGGCTCAGCGGATAGTTGAGAAGGGGTGTGATGCGTATCTAGCATATGTGAGAGATGTTAGTGTTGATACTCCTATTGTTGAGTCAGTTCCGGTTGTGAGAGATTATCCAGATGTATTCCTGGCGGATCTTCCGGGCATGCCGCCCGATAGGGATATTGACTTTGGTATTTATTTGTTACCAGGCACTCAACCTATCTTTATTTCTCCCTATCATATGGCTCTACCAGAGTTGAAGGAGTTAAAGGAATAGTTGCAGGAGTTGCTGGATAAGGGTTTCATTCGGCCCAGTATATCACCTTGGGGTGCTCCGATCTTGTTTGTAAAGAAGAATGATGGTTTTATGCGCATGTGCATTGATTATTGCCAGTTGAACAAGGTTACATTGAAGAACATGTATCCATTACCACGTATTGATGACCTATTTGATCAGCTACAGAGTTCCAGGGAGTTCTCCAAGATTGACTTGCGTTCAGGATATTATCAGTTGAAGATTCGGGAGCTAGATATCCCCAAAGACTGCCTTTAGGACTCGGTATAGTCATTACGAGTTCCTTGTGATGTCTTTTGGGGTGACCAACGCCCCAGCAACATTCATGCACTTGTGAACAGTGTATTTTGGCCCTATCTTGACTTATTTATCATTGTGTTTATCGACGACATTCTAGTGTACTCCCGAAGCTGGAAGGACCATGAGCAGCACCTGAGGATGAGCATCTGGCTTGATTCGGTGGCATTTTTGGGTGATGTAGTGTCGAGTGAGGGGATCAAGATGGATCTGAAGAAGATTGAAGCAGTGCAAAGTTGTCACAGACCGTCTTTAGCTACGAAGATCTGGAGTTTTCTTGGTTTGGCAGGGTATTACTGTCATAGTGTAGAGGGTTTCTCGGTGATGGCAGCACCTATGACCAGATTGACCCAGAAGGGTGCTCCATTCAGGTGGACGGAGGAGTGTGAGGATAGCTTTCAAAAGCTCAAGACAGCCTTGACTATAGCCCAATGTTGGTGTTGCCTTCGGGTTTGGGGTCTTATACCGTGAACTGTGATGCGTCGCGTATTGGTCTCGGCGCGGTGTTGATGCAAGATGGTAGGGTGATTGCCAATGCGTCTAGACAGCTGAAGGTGCATGAGAAGAACTATCATGTCCATGACCTCGAGTTAGAAACTATTGTTCATGCCTTGAAGCTTTGGCGACACTATTTGTATGGTGTCCCTTGTGAGGTCTACACCGACCACCGGAGTATGCAGCATCTGTTCAAACCGAAGGATTTTAACTTGTAGCGGCGAAGGTAGTTAGAGTTGCTTAAGGACTATGATATCATCATTTTATATCATCCCGAGAAGGCCAATGTGGTGGCCGATGCCTTGAGTCGCAAGGCAGAGAGTTTGGGCTGTTTAGCATATCTACTGGTAGTAGAGAGGCCATTAGCCTTGGATGTACAGGCCTTGGCCAACCAGTTTGTTAGACTGGATGTTTCTTAGCCGAGTCAAGTTTTGGTTTGTGTGGTTTCTCGGTCTTCTCTTTATGATCATATTAGAGAGCTTCAGTATGATGACCCCCATCTGCTTGTCCTCAAGGATATGGTTCAACACGGCAATGCGAAGGAGGTCACTATTGGGGATGACAGTGTGTTACGGATGCAGGGCAGGCTATGTGTGCCCAATGTAGATGGCTTGCGTAAGTTGATTCTCTAGGAGGCTCACAGTTCTCGGTACTCCATTCATCCGGGTGCCACCAAGATGTATCAGGACTTGAGGCAGAACTATTGGTGGAGGCGGATGAAGAAGGACATAGTGGAATATGTAGCTCGGTGGCTAAACTGTCAGCAAGTGAAGTATGAGTATCAACGGCCTAGTGGATTGCTTCAGAGGT